TTGGGATTCCTCCAGTCCAGCCTTTCGCATGATGTATTCTGCATATATGTTGAATAAGCTGGGGGACAATATACAGCCTTGTCGTACTCCTTTCCCAATTTTGAATCAATCAGTGTTTCCATATCCAGTTCTAACTGTTGCTTCCTTTCCCACAAATAGGTTTCTGAGGAGATAGATAAGGTGATCAGGCACTCCCATTTCTTTAAGGACTTGTCATAGTTTGCTGTGGTCCACACAGTCAAAGACTTTTGCATAGTCAATGAAGCAGAAGTAGATGTTTTTCTGGAACTCTCTGGCTTTATCCATAATCCAGTGCATGTTAGTAATTTGGTCTCTAGTTCCTCTGCCCCTTCAAAATCCAACTTGTGCTTCTGGGAGTTCCCGGTCCACATACAGTGGTACCTCGACTTACGAACTTAGTCCATGTTGAAACGGTGATCGCAAGTCGAAAAGTCTGTAGGTCGAGGCACCATTTCCCATAGGAATGCATTGAAAACTGATTAATGCATTCCAGGGGAAGAAAAAAAACTTTAAAAAAACACTGCCAGTCCCAGACTGAGAATGCAAAAAAAAACAAAAACTAGAAACAAACAAATCCAAAAATAAACATTGGAGCAAGTCCCACGCTGGGACTGAAAAAATAAACAACAACAAAAACAAAAAACAAAGCAACACAGAAACATACCCCCTTTCCCTAACCACTGGGGTGAAAGAGCTACACATTTTAAACACACACATTTTAAAACAACAGAGAGGTCACATTACACAAACCCTAAAAGCCACAGAATTATTCCAGCACAGAACTCCTCATCACAAAAAGAGAATCTAAAGTGCATTTTACAGTCTGCCTGCATCAACAGCCAGCACAGCCCCTCACAGAATATTTTCTGATTTTAAGGAAAAAAGACTGTGGAGTCTAAACTGCTTTTTACAGCCTGCCTGCATCAACAACCAGCAACCATTATTACAACAGATCCCCAAAGGAAAAAAAAAACTTTGAAGGCACATTTTAAACTCACACATTTTAAAACAAAGAGAGGTCACAGTACACAAACCCTAGAAGGCACAGAATGCAAAAATAAATAAATAAATTCTACATTTTAAAATTACAGTCTAATTTTCACATTTAGTTTTAATTTAATATTACAGTCTAATTTTCACATTTTAAATCCACACTGCAAGACCCATCAGGGCACAGAAACATAACCCCCACCTAGACCTACCCTCCCCCATCAAATTGCAAAAAAACCTGTACAATACAGTAAATACTGCACAGTGTATGTACTCACCCAGAACAGGCAGTCTCTCTGTTTTTTAAAATAGTCAAAAATCCCAAAATCAATTTTTTTAAAAGCCAAAAAAAAAATACAGTCCATACAGTACAGTACCAGGCAGTACCAGGCAGTCTGAAGACTCTCTCCCTGTCCACTCTCTAACTGCTGGGGCGAGCGAGGTAGCAGACAAGCAGCCTTTTCACTGGCCAACGGCCAACTAAAAGTTCAAATTTCACACTTTCCGCACTTACCCCACGTTGTTGTGTTTAACTCGAAGCTCCGGCCACTAGTCGAAGCAATATTTTGCGGGCGGAGCTTTTTATATCTTGAATTTTTCGCAACTACGGATGTTCATAAGTCGAGATACCACTGTACTTTGGCCATCTCATGAGAAGACTCCCTGGAAAAGACCCTGATGTTGGGAAAGGGTGAAGGCAAGAGGAGAAGTGGACGACAGAGGACGAGATGGTTGGACAGTATCATCGAAGCTACCAACATGAATTTGACTAAACTCTGGGAGGCAGTGGAAGACAGGAGGGCCTGACGTGCTCTGGTCCATGGGGTCACAAAGAGTCAGACATGACTTAACGACTAAACAACAACAACCCAGTCATTGTCTAACCTTCCCAAGGTGAGCAGGAAATGATGAAGGGGAGTTCCTTTTCAGTCAAGTGAAAGCAAATAAATGCTTCATCTAGACCTTTCTGTCAACATAGGGAGCTTAGTGAGATGTTGTGGCTGGTATAAGCAAGGATGCTGGAGTAGTGTGCACAACTCCTTTTTTTTTTTTTACAAACACTGCTGTAACCTATTCAATGAAGAGAACTTTTATACTCTTGAAATATCTTACAACCAATTTCTTTGATTCTTACATTTATTTTAGGACAAGAAGGCACATACACATTAAGTAATCTAAATAATTTTTGAATAACTACTCAATATGGGTAACCGCTGGCATCACTCCATTCCTCATCAGTTACATCATTCAACATCCATCAAAACTACGACCCTTTTTGTGATAATCTGGTTAATGACAGATTCCTCAAATCATTATCTCCCAGAGTGTCAGGAAATTATGGACCAAACCACATTTACCCACCTAACAATCCTTTTCATACTATGGTTACTCCAGTACAATCCTAAAATGACATGGCAAAAGGAGCAGTGTAGGCAATAAGAAAAAACTGAAAATCCATATGGTAGTGATATAGGGCAACCAAAACAGCATAAAAGCACCTGCAAGTTTTCAAAATATTTCAATATGTTTGATAAGACACAATATTTGAAAACACAAGGGAGGGAATGAAGAGAGCAATGATTTAGTGCTAAAAACTATGTAGCCTTCGTGTTTTCTTCCAGATTTAAGAGAGGTGAAGGGTCTGAACGAAGATTCTAAAACAGTTTATTCGTGAAGGCTTTCAACGCCAGGATCTAATGGTTGTTGTGGGTTTTTCGGGCTCTTTAGCCATGTTCTGAAGGTTGTTCTTCCTAACGTTTTGCCAGTCTCTGCGGCCGGCATCTTCAGAGGACAGCACTGGCGAAATGTTAGGAAGAACAACCTTCAGAACACGGCCAAAGAGCCCGAAAAACCCACAACAACCATTCTAAAACAGGTTCATCGAATCATAGATTAGCACTAGCAGATACAAAGAAAAATGTTGCTCCTCCATTTTGAAAACTTTGTCACCAGAAAGGAGATGTCCACCACACAGTTTCTTTACTGATGAGGCTGAAGGAGGTATTTTTAGATGCAGAAATTAGTAAATGAGAAAAGATGCTTGTCATATTTTGGGCCAAACCACAAAATTTGATTTTGGGCCAAACCTATATATGATTTCTGATATGGCCTCTGCTAGGTCATATGTATGTGCAGCTTAAAATACAAAGATTCTCTTTCTTTAAAAAAAAAATCTGTTTTTTCTCTTCATTTAAATTTTAAAAAATACATCTACTGTACTACAAACACATAAAACTTACTAAATATATAAACACAAAATACAAATGCACTCCTCCCCCTAGAGACCATTATATCTTACATACTTTTACTTATAATCAAAATCTTCCTTCTCCTTTATCCACCCCCGAAGTCCTTCCAAAAATACATATATTCATTGCTGGGTTTTTCCCTTTCCCTTTACACAATACAGCTTTTATAAATTCTTCCCATACTTCATTGAATCTATTAACCTTTATTTCTTCCTTTTTAAACTTAATTTCTGAAGTCAGTTTATCATTAACTGCCATATTCTATTTCTTCGTAGCACTCTTGCAGCTGGAAATTCAAATTCTTCTTCCATTTCTTTGCTATAAGCAATTGAGCTGCGGTTATCAAATTAATTACAATTTCTTTTTAAATATTATTCACATCGCAATTTTCTATCATCAGTAACAATGCTGGTTTTGGAACTATTTCAATATTTATTTCCAACCATTCTTTGATCTCTTCAAATACCTTAACCCATACTTTTTGTACAACTTCACAATTCCACCACAAATGAAAATATGGACCATTTTAAGAATAAGAACGTAAGAAGAGCCCTGCTGGATCAGGCCAAGGGCCCATCTAGTCCAGCTTCCCAGATGCCTCTGGGAGCACACAAGACAACTAGATACCTGTCTCCTGATACCTCTCCCTTGCATCTAGCATTTTGAGGTATCCCCCTTTTAATCCTGGAGATTATACATCCCCATCATGGCTTGGAACCTGCAATGGACTTTTCCTCCAGAAACCTGTTCAATCCCCTTTTAAAGACATCTAGGCCAGATGCCATCACCACATCCCGGGGCAAGGTGTTCCACAACTTCTTTGTTACATTTCCAACATTTTGTAGAATACTGTATTTAGAATCTATAATATTTAATTTTACCACCTCCATAATATTTTATAACCATTTTCTTTTATCCCAATTGACATATTTTTATCCTATTTGACATATTTTTTAAAACCCTTCTATTCCAGATTTGTTTTCCAATCCTCTTCATCTACACAGTATCTTCCCTATATCCATCTTCCATACTGTTTTTAAATCTTTTAACTGTTCCCCCTGACTATCAAGATTCTATAAATTACCATTGTTCTTCCCACACAAAGATTCTCATTGGTCTGGTTAAATGTATTCATTACACATCATAAATTTTGGGATTGTTTCTAATGTAAGGAACAGTTTTGAATATACTTTTCTTTAGAACTGCACAGACTTTCTCCTATTTTTTAAACAGAAACAATACAATCTTAAGGTGATATGTTATGCGGATACACAGCAGGCCATGGAGACACTTGCTGCTGAGGCCCATATGTATGTGCACCTTTTGTTAAAAAAAGGATATAAGCTTGATTCTCAGGCACCATCTTGAGAGTGGCAAGGACCTGCCATACAAATATTATCACTGGCCAAACTGAATGTAGTAACTTATTTTATTTATAATGTTTAATGTGGAAATTGTAATTTCCAATTAAATGTGTTTTCCCCTAAATATATTATACTGTACCATTGCATCACAATAATGGGGTTTCTATTTAATTTACAGGTCCTCAATGTTCTCTGCATTCAAAAGATCCTTATAATACTTGTGAAGAGCAAGCGCATTTTAAAATACATACTCCATCATATGATATATCTATGTTACCTGATATAATGACATCCAATTATTTATCCAATTATTTAAATATAAACCAGCATTTTCTCTACAATATCTTCATTTCTTCACTTTCATTTGAAATCTTAATTTGAATGGCTGCCCTGAGGTTAGCCCAGAAAAGCCCATGTTTACTTCTCTCCTTTGGCCACTCCAAGTAGGTCCTCTTGGCCATGAGAGCCTTCAGTTTGTGGTATCTGGCAGGAACAATGTATGCAGGGATCGATTCTAACAAAACAAGGATTAAACTGTCGTGATCTTCACTGAACACCTTGTGATGGGCAAAATAGAGCTCATAATGACACCATTCACTCTGCACAAAGTTGGGAGACAACACGAAAATGGTCTTGTAACTCTTCTCTATGCAGTCTATGATATTCTCAACAATGCTCTTTCCTGCAACAAAGTTTCTCTTGTGTTGGCAGATGCGTATGGACCCATCTTCCTTCTCCAAATTTGGAATCAGGACATTTTTCACCCAGTCAGAATCGTGTTCACTATAGGAGATAAACGCATGGAACTGTACATTACTGAACATGTCTTCAGGTTTGCTCTTCCAAATCCTGTGTTTTACTTGACTCCAATGCCACATCATCTTCAAATACCATGGAATGTCAAAACGGATGCAGATGACCGAAACAGCAATCAGTAAGACCACAGCAATAATTAGAATTACAGCAACCAACAGGGGCTTATTGCAAACAAGTTCAGAGATATGAAATTCTGATAAAGGGACTCCCCTTGAAAGTTCTGGGTATTCACACTTGTATGACTCAGGCCAATCAACCAACTCCATTGATCCTTGCTTTTCAAGATTAATGAATTGTCTTAATTCACAGGAGCATTTGAATGGATTGTGCCCTCCCTTTAAAGTCTGGATATTCTGACATGTTTGAAAGAATTCAGAAGACTGAAAAATAACAGAATTATTTTCTATACTCAATAATCTGAGATTGCTAAAGTGGCCACATCCAGGTAGAGAAGTTAGCTTATTAGAAGCCAAATGTAATTCTTCTAAATTGTTCAGCTCTATCATTTCTTTAGGAATACTTGAAATGTGGTTGTATTGTAAATCCAAAATTTTAATCTTGATTGGTAAGCATCTAAAGACTGATTCAGATAACATGTTAGATGACAAATTCAGTTTAACCATATTTTCAACCCAGCCACAATTATTTTTACCGTCATATTGCAAAAAATTACGACTTACATCCAAATATTTCAGAGACTTCATGAGACGGGTCATTAAACTCACTTTCATAAGATCTTTAAGATAATTCTTTTGTAAAATGAGTGTTTCTAGAAAGGGTAGGTTATTACAATCTTTGAAAATCATGTCCGTCAATGTATTATTTGAAAAACATAAGTAGGTAAAACGACTGGGTTTTGAAGGACAAAGCATTATTAATATACCTGAATCAGAAATAGACAAGGCTTCAATTTGCATTTCTGAAAAACTTGTGTAAACAATACTCTGATTAAAATATAATGTTGCAACTTCAGTATGTTTAATGGTCAATGCTTTTAGAGAGGTATCTACACTACTGAACACTTCATCACTGAAACTCGTAAGAGTCAGACCATAAATATTTAAATATTTAATGGTGGATCTCCACACAAAATGAAAAATTTCCAAGTTATTTATCCAAGAGAGCTGTATATTAATCAATGTTAAATTTAGTAACCTTCCATTTTTGTTCAGTTTTGATAAAAACATTAACAAGTGATTAACTTGGTCACCTTTAATATTTGAAAGTTCTATACTTTCTGTAACACTGAGTTCTAGGTCCTCAACAACTGGTAATCCTCTATTGTGTGGGAGTGCAATATGGAGGTTCTTCATATTAAACACTGGAAGAGCCCCAGAGTGATATTCAGAAAGGTCTTCTAAGCCGAAGAATAGAGTTTCCACTGGTAAATGATCAAGAAGATAAAGAACTGATTTATGTATTCTTCTAGCACTTATACCAAAGTATTCCAGCTTTGGTATTATGTGGGACTCAAAGCTCACTGTCATATTTATATCGTCATTATAAGAAAGATCAAGATACCTGAGACTTGATAAAGGATGACCAGAAAGAATTTGCAGGTTGTTGTGGGATAGATCTAGATGTTCTAAGTGTTTGTTGTATTGAAAGACACTGAAATCAAGCCTTCTGATGAGGTTATAGGACAGAATTAGTGCCTTCAGTTTGGAAAGAGAACCAAAATCAGACATCTGAATTTCAGAAATACGGTTCTGTGACAAATCCAAAACGGTTGTTTGAAGCGGTAGGTTCTTCGGAACTGTATATCGGATACTCTTTGAGTAATTTGCCATAAATCCATTTTCCACAGAGGTACAAGTGATATTCCAGGTAAAGATACAAAGACAGAAGAAAATGCTGGCGCCTAAACTTTTTGTTTCTACCATAGTGTATAATGTTTCTTTCAACGTATTTATTGGATTTCTCATCCCTTTATACCAACCGGAGGACCCTGCAAGAACAATGCACATTAACATGTTAACTTATCGAAATTAAATTATGGCTCTCAAGTTTTCTAAGATTTATAATTCGTTATTATTTAAATTATAATTGCAGACACTAGGAAAATGTCATACTGATCATATGTGTCTTGTATTTCAAGGTAATGAAAGTACTGTTTGTTCAATAAGTCCTCATCCTGCCCACCACCACCACCACCACTACCCTTGGGGGTTTATAAAAGGATATTGCACTGTGTGTCTGGAAGTCACCCAGAAATTCCAAGCTCTGTCCTGGCATGACCAGTATATCAGCCCTGTCTAGTTTTCCATCTCATCATGAATCAAAACTTGATCAAATAAAAAATAAGCAACCTGTCTGAACGTAGGAGAAGTGTACATGGGAAAAGGGCAGTGGGTACCCCTCTTCCTGGCCTGGAATGTGTTCATGCATTCATGTATTAAAAAGACACAAGCACATCCAGATTGTCAGCAAGAGCTTTGGAGTGGTCTCTGAGACAACTCCTACCAAACATCCAGCTCCCAGACTCGGACTCTGCACTATTTTGCAGCAAATTTTCCCTGAGCCAGCAGACAAACTGCTTATTCTCAGGATGAACTTTCAGAAATTTTTACAAGGTTTGTTCACCTAGAAATAGAATAATAACATGAACCTACCCTGCCAGGACACACACACACACACACACACACACACAATTTTGACCCCTGAACTTTCAAACATTTTAAAAAGTTGCCCTGTCAATTCATTAAGATAAAATCCTTGACTGTTAACACGTCTATTACAAAAGAGAGGGGTACCTGAGAGACTATGGATTCTGAGCATTACACAGTAGCCGAATGTTGCTGTGCCTGTTTTGTTGATGGCTCCTAAAGTGCAGTGTGACATCCATGCAGTGTTCTTTAACTTCCTAGTGTGTTGGTTCATTGCAGAGAAACATGGGGACTGTTAAGCTGATTGTAGCAGCAGTAGAGCTGATTTCAAGATTAAGCCATTTTCTGATAAGTCGCGTCAATTTGTCAATGTTATAATAAGGGGAATAAAAATAGGAACTTTGCTGAAGTTCCTTGGTGCTTCTTGGGTTCTCTGTTAGATTTTCAGATTAAAATAGATACATTGCTAATACAGTTTAAAACCTTTGCATAATCAGCATCAGTGAGAGTTCCTCCTACATTTAATCATTTACATTTGGTCTGGCAAAGCAACAGAGGAGATTTGCAGAGTATACTCAGAGCTTGGACATGTTACTGTTTTGGAATAACTCTCCCAGCCAGAGGAGGACTAAGCAGCCACCTCTTTGTCTGGCATTATTCCACCATACACTCTGCCTACCCCTTCATAATGGTATGTCAACCAGCTTCCCCGAACCAAGCATGCAATCCAACCTCCATTTCAGCCATAAAGGGGGAGGAAAAACATGAGCAATATTTTCACAATCAACTATAGTCACATCGGCTGCATATGAAACCACTGGGAGAGATTATCTGGAATTTTTGGGTTCGGTGCCACCAGTATGGAAATGACATCCAACTCTACCTCTCCTTGCCACCTAAATCCGAGGAAGCTACTCATCAGTAATCATTAATGATTGTTGATTACTGATCACGAATCAGTAACAGTAATGAACTAGATGAGGGTGAATAAACTGAAACTTAATCCAGACAAGACAGAAGTGTGACTGGTCAGTCAAAAGGGAGATCAAGGAATAGGAATGCAGCTGGTAAAGGTAAAGGTAAAGGTTCCCCTTGACAATTTTTGTCCAGTCGTGTTCGACTCTAGGGGATGGTGCTCATCCCCGTTTCCAAGCCATAGAGCCAGCGTTTGTCCGAAGACGATCTTCCGTGGTCACATGGCCAGTGCGACTTAGACACTGAATGCTGTTACCTTCCCACCGAGGTGGTCCCTATTTATCTACTTGCATTTGCATGCTTTCGAACAGCTAGGTTGGCGGGAGCTGGGACAAGTGACGGGCGCTCACTCCATCGCGCGGATTCGATCTTACGACTGCTTGGTCTTCTGACCCTGCAGCACAGGCTTCTGTGGTTTAGCCCGCAGCGCCACCACGTCCCTAAATGCAGCTGGTACTGGATGGGATTACACTCTTATTTTTGTACAAATGCACTTCTGGCCACCGTTGAGACCTGGGCATCCAGACTCAGAGAAAAATCCAGGAGCACCCCTAAGTTGTGCACCTGCTTCTTTTAAAATAAGAGTGTAATCCCAATGCAGCTGGTACTGGATGGGATAACACTCTTATTTTAAATGAAGCAGGTGCACAATTTAGGGATGCTCCTGGATTTGTCTCTGAGTCTGGATGCCCAGGTCTCAACGGTGGCCAGAAGTGCATTTGTACAATTCAGACTAGTGTGCCAGCTACATCTGTATCTGGAGAGATCTGATCTGGCCACTGCAGTAACCAGGTTACTTCCTGGTTGAATTACTGTAATGGACTCTATCTGGGGCTGCCAATGGAAAGTGTCAGGAAACTTCAGGGGGTCCAAAATGCAGCTGCCAGATTGCTGACTGGGGCTGGTTACAGGGATCACATAACCTCCCTATTACAGCAGCTCCACTGGTTGCTGATTAGTTCCGGGGCATAATTTAAAGTTCTGGTTTTAACTATAAAGCCCTAAATGGCCTGGGTCCAAGCTACTGTATCTCAAAGACCATATCTCCCATTACGAGCTAGCTCAAGTGTTAGGACAGTCAGGAGAGGCCTTTCTCATGTTCCCACCACCTTCACAGGTGTGTCTGATGGGGACACAGGAGACGACCTTCTCTGTTGCTTCACCCAAGCTTTGGAACTCCCTCCCACTTGAAAAAAATAAACATATCCTGAAAATAAGCTCTAATGTATTTTTGGAGGAAAAATTAATATAAGACCCTGTCTTATTTTTAGGGAAACAGGGTATGTATATGAATGAATAGACACCTGACCAAAAAAAATATTCAATCCTTTCTCATTTCACAACAAATTAGCATACATTTCAGTATTTGATAGATCTTACCACCTACCTTATGCTTCTCAAAACAACAGTCAAAAAAGGGACTGCCCTTGACAGTCCTAGCAGGAAGAAAGCTGTCTTAAAGCTGGTGCAAAAGTTCACTCTGGGCTTTTACATCAGAAGATCTACCAGTCTGACAGGAAAAAAATATATATTGAAAAGACTTCCAAGATAATGAGAAGATGACAGACAGTATTATCCCAAGAATTTATAAGTTTACATTTTGAGCAAATTAATACAAGTGCAGGATTTGCAGAACTACTGCATCATGAACTAAAAATAATACACCACTTACAAGAAATGACCAAATCCCACTCTGTAACACTTCCTCTTTTTGAAGCTGCATGGGTCTTTCATTTTACTTTTGCACTCTTGTTACAAAGCATATTGGCAATGCTAATTAGCTACCAAGACCAAAATGCTCCCAAGACTTGCTAAGAAATCTGAATTCAAAACACATTGACAGTGAGACAACAGATGAGATTGATGGAGAGATGTGTTTCAAAGTGGAAATCTCAGAGTTCCTTGCACTTAGGCACAAAGGAGGAATACCTGGTGGGAAGGACAAAGCAAATCAGTGGGGTTTATGAGACTTGGGGTCCTAAACATCTGAAGGATGAACCTGCACCTGGTGGTAGATGGTAAATTTGACAACATGGGTCTGGCAATCCATAGGAGCCTGGATTGCATCTTGGGCCTCAAGGTCTAGAGGAGCTTGGCTGCAATTCCCATTATTATGAGGGAAAATGGAGGGCAAATAGTGGATCATGGCAGGGGTTATTTATAGAAATTCATCTCCTTGAATCTATAGCCTAAATCCAATTGTTAATTCCATACAGAGAAATTGCTTTTAACCGGTGGGCAAAATTCTGATGCATAACTTTGCACCCCAAAAAACCCAGATCAGGTGCTGAAAACATTTAACTTGTGCTAATTAAAAGCTTCATATCCCCCTCCTTTTAGGTTCCAAGGTTCCCTTGGACTCCTGTTTGCCCTGGGGAAGCCTTTGGGGGCCTTCAGATTGGCGACAGTGAGCCTTAAATTAAAAAGACATGGGAGAATGGAGGATTTTCCTGTATCCTGTGGTGGTAATGCACCGACTGAGCTCTGTCGCCCACTTGGGTTGCTTAAATTTGTCCTTCATTATGCAACAACAGGACTTTTTTTAAAAAAACGAGTTAAGAGATCTACTGTGTTAATAATGCACCATGAAACCTAAGGATCATTATTATTTCATTTGGCAATAGGGAAGAGCATTACTTATTATTGTTGTAAAGGGTGTATGAATCCTGCCAGCAGGGCTGGGGGAGTTGAAACTGCCCCAAAGAGGCAGACAAGAGTGACCAGAGGCAAGGGCAAGTACATTTACTGCACATTTAATAGCTGTGTGGAAGGGTTGGAAAACAATGTAACAAGGAAGTCCAAGGAAAATTTGAACTCAGGTCTCCTGAATCTTAGCACTGTAGTCGCTACCCCGCGCTGGACCTCAGTCTGGGTTGCTTCCTGTTAAATGCGGACAGAAGATGGTGCCTCAGAGACAGGGGAACCTCACTCAGCGCTGCTCCCTTAGCGCTCAGGAACTAGATTTGGGCGCAGTTTGTAGTAGGAGGTTAGTAGCCACCGCGACGATCGATCGATCCAAAAAAACCGCACATCAATTTAAACGATTGATTATCTAACCTCAAGAGTACTGATTTCTAATGACAGCCCATCAAGAGGGAGAGTCTCGAAACAAACTTGCAACTCAGGAAGCCCTTGGAAAGCCTGAGAACGATTTTGAAGATCCCGTGTAATGCTAACGAAAGGTGTTTGGTACGTTTTTCGACTGCAGCTCCCAGCATCCCGTCTGAGAACTCCTGGAAGCAGTTCGAACCCACAGACACGCTTCCCGCGTCGACGCGCGTCCAAGTCAGCGGCGTGTGAAAGCACGGCGTTCACGTGCCACTGTTAATTAGCGGTGGGGGGGAACAGGCTGGGTTGGGAGGGAAAGCAGGGAGAGGTTTGAAAAGTAAGCAGCGGCGAATGGGCGCAGCTCCGAGGTGAGAAGTTGGCGGCGAGGAAAAGCTCGTTTACTCACGTCTTCCCGGCTTCGCTTCGATGAAAGCCGCGGCTTTTCCCTTCAGCGTCCTAAGGAAACCTGCAGGCATAAGCCGGAGAGGCCTTTTCCTCACCTTTCCGGGGCAACGTCGTCGTGAAGAGGAACGATGGACGGGATCGCTAAACCGAAAGCGGGCAGCGCTGCCGCGACCCGCCCTCGTAGCTCCGCCAGGCGGGTGTTTCCCACCGCTTTTCCAGTAAGAAAGTGGCGTGACCCGTCGGGCAACCAAGTAACACCTCGAAGCCGTTGAGCCGAGAGCCGGCCTTTCTCGTCCGGAGAATGCGCAGCAACACGACGCCTACCGAGGCTTCGGCCTCCTTTGCCGTTTCCTTGCAGAATCTTCCACCTCCACCTCCACCCCCCCCGCCAGAAAGTCTGGCATTGCCCACTCGTCCACTCGCTACGTTTAGGTGTTAAAACCTAACAGGCTTTTTTATTTTGTGCTAAAAGGTTCCCAGGCCCTAGAGCACCTCAGAAATAAAACCAAGTGAAACCGTCCCGGGAGTCGGGCATACTTTTTCAGTACATGTAGAACTGACGACGAAAAGGGGGAAAGTCATGAGGTGGGAGGAAACAAGCTTCGGCACTTGGGTCTTGCTTACAGGGTGAAGCAAGCAGTTGGGACATTCAGCCTGTCCCGGAGCTCGTCTGCAGCTGGAGGAACGGGCTTTTTCCATGTGCTAAGGAGCAAGTGGCCCTTGGTGGGTGGAAGGAGGGAAGGCGCTCGACCGAGAACGCCTTCCAGGCATGATGGAGCCGGGTCTGCTTCCTTTTCTCCTCAGTGCAACCAGATGTTATTTCTTTACAGAAAGCATTCAAAGAAAGAAGGATGGTTACAAGCCATTGGCCTGGGGCCCTGCTTCGCCCTTCAACACCAGAAGAAAAAGAGGAAGAAGACAAATGGTCCCATCACCTCTCTCTCTCTCTCTCTCTCTCTCTCTCTCTCTCTCTCTCACGCACGCACGCACCCACGCACACACACACACACACACACACACACACACACACACACACACTTCACTACTGTGATTTAAGAACTTCTGAATCAATGACTGCTAGATGGCCGTTGGGCAGAGGCAGCCTTGCCAGAGCTTGCTTTTACTTATGACCAAGGAAAACATACTTACTAGCAGGAATGTAGCGCAAATGCCCTCGTCATGACGGTCCCCATGGCAACCCTCCATGTACAGAGAGTCCAAACATGCTGGCTGCTGGATAGGTGCCTATCAACAGTGGAGAAGCAAGTTTTTGTGAAGCTAGTGGTTCTTCATATCCCATTCCACACATAATTTGTATTACAACAAACACAGGCTGCAGCTACACTGTGATTTGATTTATTCAGTTCACTTTTAGTGACCACACAAGGGCCACTGATGGATTGGAGCCTCAGTGTGATTCACATTTCAGATCACAGCCCCCCCCCCTTCATTCCTCTGTTCCTGCTTCTGCCAACCCTTTTGCAGTTCACGGTCAAGCCACTTGGTTTTTAAAGGGCTGGACAGTTTTATGGAAAACACAGCAGCTTTCCTAGGTTTTTCACAATGTAATAGAAATATACACACATATTGTAGAAACATATTGTCTGTATTTCATCCGGGTTGTTCCTATTTTGTAGCAACTTTTTAGTTAGTTTTTCTATGCATAGGTGATCTAACAAACTATTGCATAAATGCAATTGATTTTAATAAACAAGTACTGCACTTGTTTATTTAAAAAATGAAAAAAGGGGGTGAGTGTGTTTACACACAGTGGATGAAACGTAAGAATAAAAAACAGAGATCATGAATAGATTCTCCTTTGTTATACCTACATAAACTTCTGTGTGCCAGAAGTTGAAATGATATTTAGTAACGGAAAATCTTTAAGAATGTTTATTGTATAACATGTTGAAAAATAAACTAAAAATACTTGAACTTTTTATTTGATATAGATTTGTGCTTAACAGAGTATAACAGTTTCATAACATCTTCCATAATAACACACAAATGGCAGACAGCATATCTGAAAATACTACTTCTCAATTTAAAAAACCCTCATGCTATCAGACAAACAGAACAAGCTTCCTCCTGTCACATCTTCTGTATGGGAATTAACTCCTTCAAGTACCCATGGGCTAGCACTAGACAGAATCTGATTGGTTACAGCATTCATTATGTAAATAACTCATCTCAATCATTTGCATATATACATATGGGAAACCTTGACATCTGACCATTCAGCCTGGAGGCAGGCGGTGCATCACGGCCTCTCCCAATTTGAAGAGACCCTTGTCCAGCAGGCCAAGGCAAAGAGGCAGTCCCGGAAGCAGCAAAACCAGAGAGCTGGACAGGGTACAGATTGTATTTGTCTTCAGTGTGGAAGGGGTGTCACTCTCCAATTGGCCTTTTCAGCCACACTAGACGCTGTTCCAAGTCCTCGATACAGAACACGTTACTATAGTCTCTCGAGACTGAAGGATGCCTAAGAATACATATATACATGCTGGGTTGCACAGTTCTTTCCCATGATCCCTAAACATCATGTCCCAACTGCCTATATCACCACAATACCACCCACACATGTCCCCTGTCCTTTTTCAAAAGCAAACAACTGCTCACTTGGGGGAAAGCCTGTTCAGATAGATTCAGCTTGAAAATTTAGAAGCCCCACCTCTAAGAAAAAACTCTGTATTGGGAGCAAAAAAGGGGCCAGATAATGTCGTAGTCCCTAATGCTCAGAAGGTCCTAGGACTTCAACCCTACAAGCCTTGGCTCCACTACACTACTGGTTACTAGAAGAAATGAAGTAGCAGAAGGATTAGTTTCTGAGTTGGCGTGTGTAAGGTTTTGTTGCAAGTTTCACTAAAAGCAAAGCAAAGTTCATCCATTACCTGGAACAGAAGTCTCTTGGCTTCGACATTCATACATGATGCTATACATTTTTCTTTTCATGCAGTTTATTTATGTGTTCATTTAATGTAGAACTGTAGATTGTGACTGATTATTAAACTGAATGTAAGATGTCAATTAACCTTTCCCCCTCTCACTTCCTCCCTATCACCACCACTACTGTGGCAGCTGCTGCTGTTCATTACCTTGCCTCTTCATCCAGGACTAATTTGAACTTCTAGAGGAAAAGCAGAAAACAGAAAGGGATTTCTGCACCTTCTCCTCAGTATTGTCACACTTGATTCCGCTGGGGCTAGGAAGTGAACATGCAACAACAACAAAAAGGAGAAGCAACAGAGTGAAAAGTCTTGGAAGACTGGCACTAAGGTGCACAATGGGATACAGGCATCATCAACCACTGGACGTCAACCACTTGGGTGAGCCCTGCGCTTTTTTATTAAAGGGGTTATTCAGATATTCCTCAATTCTCATATTAGATTTATTATTAATGTTAGCTCCACCTCATTGCACTTGTTCTTTTTTGACTCATGGTTTCTGTATCCTGATTGAGAATTATCGTATTCCCTATCCAGGGTCGTCATTGTCTGTGCCCGCATATAGAAGAGATCCCTTCTGTTCAGATTTCAAAGGAAATAGTCATGTTAGTCTGTTGCAACAAAGCCAAAAAGGAATCTTGTGGCACCTTGAGGAAAAACAAGTATGATTTAGCATAAGCTGGAGATGTGGGCTATAGTGTACTTCTTCAGATGCACAGTGCAGCCTATATAGAGAAACTGATACTGTATGTAAAACTCCCACCCTCCGCATGACGGTATAAATTTTTGCCTGTGGACTCTAGTCTATGAGAACCTGTGCAAGTAGAGAAACTGATACTGTATGTAAAACTACCCATGACAGTATACATTTTTGCCTGTGAAAGTGGACTCTAGTCTATGAGAACCTGTGCAAAAATAGAACTTCTTAGTCGTTAAGATGGCAAAATACCTGCTCTGTTCTATCTAGGTATGCTGCTGTATTGTTTATTGCTAGAGAAAGTCACTGCCCAAACATATCATTCAAGGAAAAGCTTTGATCTTTAATCTACATTAACTTATTTTTTAGTTGTTATGATGGGAAAGATTTTTCACCTTTAACAAGGATACATCCTTACAGAACAACTGAGTTTTCTTTCTTGCTTCTTATTTTGATAGAGTTAGTACCTGTGTTACCTTGTCAGTAGATAACTTATTAAGACATCATTATTTATGACCATAATATTTGATCACTAATTTCTTTTGACACTGCATACGCCATACTTTTATTTCACCATTTCCTTGTTTAATCATTATTATTAGGGTTGTTTGGATTTACACAAAAAGAAAAAGAAAAAAAGAACTTAACATACCTTTATTTCATAACATAGATCAAACAATAATAATTGGCTTCGCTACAAGTCATTCATTTCTCTTGATATGGAATCTTAATTTGAATGGCTGCCCTGAGGTTAGCCCAGAAAAGCCCATGTTTACTTCTCTCCTTTGGCCACTCCAAGTAGGTCCTCTTGGCCATGAGAGCCTTCAGTTTGTGGTATCTGGCAGGAACAATGTATGCAGGGATCGATTCTAACAAAACAAGGATTAAACTGTCGTGATCTTCACTGAACACCTTGTGATGGGCAAAATAGAGCTCATAATGACACCATTCACTCTGCACAAAGTTGGGAGACAACACGAAAATGGTCTTGTAACTCTTCTCTATGCAGTCTATGATATTCTCAACAATGCTCTTTCCTGCAACAAAGTTTCTCTTGTGTTGGCAGATGCGTATGGACCCATCTTCCTTCTCCAAATTTGGAATCAGGACATTTTTCACCCAGTCAGAATCATGTTCACTATAGGAGATAAATGCATGGAACTGTAAAATATTCAGCTGATCTTCCGGCTGGTTCTTCCACTTCCTGTGTTTTACTTGAGTCCACTGCCATATCATTTCCAAATACCATGGAACATTAAAATGAACACACAGAAAAGATGCAACTGCTGCTGTGGCAATGGTAGTAATAAGAATGATAGTAACCAAAAGTGTTGTGTTGCACGTTATGTCAGATACATGGAAGTTCTTCAGTGCACTTCCCCTTACATTCTCAGGGTACGAGCACATGTACAACTCAGGCCAGCCAACCAGCTTCACAAGTCCTTGTTCCTCAAGAATAATGAACTGTCTTAGTTCACAGGAGCATTTGAAGGGATTGTGTCCTGCATTTAGTTCCCTAATGCCTTGACAGGAGTGGTAGAACTCAGAAGATGGTGTGACAACTGAGTTCATTTCCAAGTTCAGTATTGTCAGACTTCTAAACTGACCACATCCAGGCAAATCAGATAGTTTGTTAAATGCTAAATTCATTTCTTCTAAAGCCCTCAGTTCAATTATATCTTTAGGAATACTTAAAATGTTGTTGCTTTGAAGATCAAGCTTTTGAATATTGACAGGCAAGCATTTAAAAACAGATCCAGATAACATATTAGATGACAAGTTCAATTCAACTAGATTTCTACCCCAGTTGCAATCATCACCATTGCCATTGTACTGTAATAAATTCTTGCTCATATCCAAATATTTCAGGGACTTCATATAACTGGTCATTAAACTTACTTTGGCAAGATGTTTAAACTGATTTTTTTGTAGAATAAGATTTTCAAGAAGGGTTAAATTGTCGCAACTTTTGAAAACAGCGTCTGTTAAGCTATTATTTGAAAAACTTAAGTAGTTAAAACTACTGTATTGAGATGGACAAAGCATGTGTATCAAACCTGCATCTGCAATGGTCAAAGCAGTAATGTTCATATCTACAAACAGTCTATACAAATTTGTTGGTTCAGAGAAAAATGTCGTGAATGTAGTCTGCTTAAGAGTCAAAGCTTTGAGTGAAGTTTCAGTATAATCAAAAGGTATTTTGTTTGGAACTTCCAACTGTGCTGCATTAGAGATAACAACATATTGAATGGTTGATTTCCACACAGCTTGAAGTATGTTAATTAGGCCATTCCAGTCACACTGTATGTTGCTTAAAGTTAGGTGTAGTAATTCTGCATTTTTGTTAAGGTGCAACAAGAAAGTTCTTAAGTCATTGATCTGTTTGTCTTGGATATTTGACAACTCTAAATTTATTGTTGCATTGATTGCTAAATCCGAAAGCACATGGAAATCACTGTTTAAGGGGAGTATAATCTGAAGACTCTTTGTGTTGAACATTGGAAGATTTCCAGAGTTATATTTAACAAGGTCTTCTAGGCCTAAGAACAGAGTTTTGAGCTGTAAATGAGCAATATAGCTGAAATCTGACTGCTGTATTTTTCTAACACTGAAGCCAAGATATTCAAGGTTCTTCATTTTGCCAAACTCAGGGCACATGGGTACAGATAGAAAGTGGTTGTAAGAGAGATCTAGATGTTTGAGTTGCATAACAGAATGACAAGAAAGTATGTACAGGATGTTGTGGGACAGATCTAGATGTTCTAATTCTTCATTGTATCGGAAAATACCAAGATCAAGGGCTCTGATAAAATTGTGAGATAGAATTAGTACCTGCAGTTTAGGAAGAGAACTGAAATCAGAAATCAGAATTTCAGGGATATGATTATGTGACAAATCCAGCACAGTTGTTAGAGCTGGCAGCTTTTGGGGGACAGTAGCCTGAAATCTGTGTGAAAAATTTGTAGTCAATGCATTTTCCACAAAAGGCTGGGTATTACTCCAAATGGTTATAGTCAAGGCAAAGGCTTTCAGGAAATTCTTGGTGCCTGAGGTTCTTCTATTTGCCATAGTGCAAGTGGATTCTTTATATTTGATTATGTACCACCTTCATCTTTCCACATTGTCAGCCCTGTAAAAATAATGTGTCCTGTAAAAAGAATTTTCCTTAGATTATTAAGACAAAATTATTATATTCAAAAGAAATCTTATTTCACTAGATGACTATTGTAAGGATTTTAATAAAATGGCTGATGTTAGAGTTCAACAAATTGAATTTATGTGGTGCAGAGATGTTGCCTTAAAAATTAAGACTGCCTTTTGAAATGTACCACAGAGAGGTACATTAAAAGTAAGAGTACATTTGGAAATGTACTCAAGGAATATAAGTTTATATTCCAAAACCAAAACACGGCCATTTGTTTTGGAACACAAAAGACAACAAGGCAGTAGTAGCTCATTAAGTTTTCTGCCAGTTTTCTTAGTGACAAAAGTAAACAACAGAATGCTTACATTATGTGAAACAGAAACAACAGGACAAAATTTAAATGCATTTTAAATTGCTGCTTGAGTTATGTTTTATCTATAAAGTTAGTTAACAAAGAAATATTACAAAATAGATGTGGCCACCTGTATTAAACAAATGGGAACAGTCATATATTGTACAATATAAACTTTTAGAGAATAGTGTAAAAAGAGAAAAGGATGGACATTATTTTTAGCAGTTTGTTTAATAATAAGTAAGTAGAGAAGAAACACAAAGGTGCTGTTTGGCTTATGAGGCTTTAGTCTTGTGATTAATGGTAACTGAGTTCTGAAAAAAGTATTAACTTGCATATATATTGTAGTATCAGTTAAAATAACACGCACATGTATTGTACTGTCCCAAGTGAATTACATAATTCAAGGCAATGGTGGGGATTTTACTCTCTCTTTCTTGACAGCCAGGAGCAAGCCAGGCCAGGAGCTTGCTGAGCAAAGCCTTGGAGATACAAGGAGCTTCACTTCACTTGGTCTGGGAGAAGAGAACTTTGGAATGAGAAACCTCCTGACCTTAAACATGTAGGCTTTTCATTGGTTGCAAAGTATAAACTCTGATGGAGTTTGTTGTTTTTAAGGATGTTTCACTAGGCTATATAAAGTAAACTTTCTCTTGCAGTGATATACCATATTTTTCCATGTATAAGATGCCCCCATGCATAAGATGCCCCCCACACTTTTCTAACCCAAAATCTTTAAAAAATCTAAAATTAGCTTTGGGGGCTGCTCACATGAAAAGGAGAATCTCCTTCTTGTGCGACTCTTCCAGAGCCACCAGAGAAGGAAAGCGCACAGGATGACATCAGCACCACTTGCTGTCACCTGCAAGAATAGGAGCAGTATTGCCGGTGGTTGCAAAGGGGTTCCCCCTGCCCACTGAGTGGGAGGCAGCACGGCGCATTGGTTTGTGCCTGAGCCCATCAAAGGTGGTGCCGAGCCCTGATTAGCCTTGGCACGGCTCAGCAGTGAGCCTGGCTCTGCTTGGCGCATTTCCGTGCCCCGCCCGGACTGGAGGCAGCAGCTCTCTATTGCGCTTTTTCTTCCTCCTCCTCCTTCTCCTCACCAGGCTTTGTGTGAATGGAGTGAGGTGGCAGCAGCAGCAGAAGCAACTGCCAACCATGTGGAGAGCCAGGGGAACTTCAGAACTATCACCCCCTTCTACACCTCTTTCTCTGGCAGCAAAGATGCTGAGTCAACTGATGAGTGGCGGCAGCAGGAACCTGGACTTTGGAAGGGGTAGCAGGCTGGCACTGGATGAGGCCCTGGAAGGAGCTGCTGCACTCAAGAGCCCCTTCTGCCACAGCAGCTTGAAGGAGCCTCTTCTGACCCAGGGTGCTGCACTGTTGCATTGAGAGGCACCTTTCACACCTGCAGTGGCAGGAGTGGGGCCGAGTCTACCAAGGGAGAGGGGAACCTCCCAGTCACTCCCTCCCATTTTGCCCCAGAACTTCTCCCTGGGCAGCACCAGGTTTGTGGTGGGCGGCTCTGAACAAAAGGGAGGCGTAACCTGTAGCTTCTGTGCAGAGTGGGAAGGGGGGGGCGCCTCCCTCAGCAGGCACTGCTGTCCTTCCCTGCACATTAGCAGGAGGAGCTGTGAGAAAAGAGGTCAATTTTTAGTCTAAAGTTTTTAGACAAAAAGTATTGTCTTATACATGGAAAATATGGTATAATGGAGAAACATTTTGTCCTAAGGGAATGGAAAAGAGATATGTTTTGTCTTGCGGATGGACTGAGCATGGCAAAGAGATTGTGCTGCATCCAATTATGGACATAACATAGCTAACTAGCTAAGGATTGGCGAGAATATATTTTTCTGTGTCTCTTTGCCTGGGAGGTCTAAAATCTTTGCAGGACTCCTAGGGGAGTCAGTTACTGTATTCTTACCAGGTTCTGACACTGAAATCCAGTACTGTAGTAAGTTGCAACTAGAGTAAACCCATCAAACCAGTGGAACTTATGGAGTAATTGACTCACCAAATGTCCACTGATTCAATGGACTTACTCTACCACTAAATTTCCGCTAATGTGTTTAAAAAATGTATTCTCAGTACAATCATGTTGCAAGGATCCCATGAATGATTCAAAACTGTGTAGAATCTTGTCAAAATAATGAACACTGTCAATTCTGATGCTACAAATTTACAAAGTTACACTTACGGAAACATGCAATCTCAATTGTCAGGCCAATAGTGTTGGCAACCTCTGGCCAGCAAGCAGTGGTATTGTGGTAAATTTTGAACTGCAGATGCTCATCATGATAGTCCTCATATCAATGCTCTCTAGGACAGCCCAGAAATGCAGGCAGTGGTGTTAAGCCATATTTCTGCAGCATAATACTTTGTTTATTATGTCCAGCTCATTATATTCCAAGGATTTGTTTTCCCTGCATTAATGGGAAACACTTTGGCCATCGTCCTCTGCAGGAGCGTGGAGCATAATGTTTCACTTGGATTGTTCACATGTAAGACAAGATAGATTGCACAGAAGACAAGAAGCTTTTCAGTTAAAACCAGACTAAGACTTGTTGCTGAGTATCTTAAAAGCCTTCTTTCTTCCCCCTCCTCTTTAAACTTAAATTTGCCAGAGCAAAATAGACAACTCTAACTCTCCAGATCCTGGAGTAAAATTCTCAAGGTCTCTCACCATTAGTTATGTTGGCCAGGGCTGATGGGAATTGCAGTCAAACAATGTTGGGAGGGCTCCAATTCCACATTTCTGACTGACTGACTGACTGACTGACTGACTGACTTACTATCATATCCCGCCTATCTGGTCTTGCGAAAAAGTTGTTATAGGAGTGAGTGAAGGGAGTTTTGTGTTAAAACAATGTCCTCTTACGGGACTAATTGGGGGGAAATTGGGTAAATTAGTAAGTAGGAAAATAACAGGAAAACAGTAACGTTATGAATTGATCCAACAAACAAAAGTGAGGAATTAGAGGCGATGAAAAATAGATAGGATATGAAAAATAGAAACTCTGCAAACCTTATCAAAGTCCAGTGGGACTTCGGAATAAACAATCCACAGTCAATGAAATAAATAAAAAGAACAAGATAAGGCCAAACCAATTGTTTTAAAAATCGCAAAAGTACAACGATACTCGCATTTTCTAAGTTGTGAACAAGGAAGGATAAACGACTGAAACCTCGCCTGTTGAGAAGAGAATACGGAACTGAAACCGACCACAGAATAACCCTGAATTCGCCTACTCAAAAGCAAATTCCACCCATTTCCACAGTATTTACTGTTGGACAAGTCGATATGTACTGTATAGGATCGCACTCACCCAGCAGCAAGCCCCTATGAAGTCCGTAGGACTTCCCTCTGAGCAGGCACATACAGGAATGCTCAAAACACAGAGATTTTTAAAAAAGAAAAAGAAAAGAAAACGGTACTATTAAAGAAGGAGAAGAGGGAAGGGGGAGGCACGATCCACCTTCGCTACCGCCTTTTATGCTCTCTCCACTTACTTCGTTGAATGCAGGGAAAACTCCATTCCAATCCAAACCATTCGCGAGGCCACTCCGGTGGGGGACTGCTGCCCTCTGAGCTGGAGATGCAGCGAAAAATAGTTTATTGGCCGCGCGTTTAGCCTCTGAAAGGCTCCTCCCTTCTGCCGCCTCCCTGCCTTCGGGCAGAGAAGGCAAAAAGGAGAAGGGGTACAGCGACGCAGAACCGTCTCGTTGACGCTAAGTGACAGGAGGCGCTGGGGAGAATCATCTCTTCCCTCCCTCCCCTCCGCAGCGAGGGTAGTTCGTGGCCGCCGGGGCGAAAGAGCGCCCCCTCCCTGAACATTTGCGGTGAGGTACAGTACTCTCCCCGTCTCCGTCCACCAGCCCTTCTAAACTTTTAAAGCTTCAAAACTCAAAGTCACTTAGGAAGCGGAACTTGCTTTCTGATTTTCCAATTCCTCCTGCTTCAAATCAGAAAAAAGAGGAATAAATAAAAGGCTGTGGGCCTCAGCACCTGGAATTTAAAGGATGGGCTGCTCCAGAAGACATTTCTTTTTTTACTTCTAAATGCTGAAGGAACATCATGATCATCATCATTATTACTGCTGTGGTAGGTTTTACACACTCATCTTGTTGATGGATTGCAGTTCCCATTGCCCTTGGAAATTAACCATGTTGACTGGGGGCTGATGAGACCTGGAGTCCAACAGCACCTTGGGAGGTCCAGATGCCCCGGTTATTTTTGCACTGCTGACTTCGTTGCAAAATAGCAATCGTAATCAGCAGCAAATGAATGAATCAATCAATCCATGAATATCTGGTTTTGCCTCCTAACCTGTAATGAGGTATACAAGGGATCCAGTACTAAGACAGTCTGCTAAAGGAGGACATGAAGAGAAGAAGAGAACCACGACCTAGCATCACCATCATTCTGATTGCATCTCCCCATTGTGATATAGAGGAGCACTTGTTTTCTCTCCATAAGAATTTTGTTTGTTCATTTTGAAATGCTTTGTTGACCAGGCTGGGCATGACTGCTGCTGAGCACCCCCCTGCTTTCTTGGGGACTCTGATTAATTTAATGAGACACTTATTAGATATAATGTTGAGAGAAAAATCAAACTGTAGTTCAACTGAATGGGGCCAGAGGCCATCTGAAGGTCTTCTGTGTGCTGGTGGACACACTGTTCTCTGCTACCATTGTGTCTACACAGTCACACAACGGAGCTCTTTGGGTGGTCAAATGGCTGTTAACATTGCTGCCCAAGATTTTTTTTTAAAAGTCTAGACAATTCAGTAAGTCCATCGTGTCTTCAACAGCATAATATGTTGCAGAGAAAGTATCTTGAATCCATTCTTACATCAGCACCACCAATGCTTATCAAGCTGCTTTCCTATTTCTCTTTGATCAGTTTTTAAGAGTTCTGTATAGAAGTATCAGGGACAGCAGGAGTCAGTCTAGCTCAAGGAGTGACCTGCCCTCACTTGTTATTAGCTAAAATGGCCATGGTGTTTCCTTCTCTCTTGGCACGTCTGTAAGTGATAATGCCCTCTTGCAACAGAGGAGGCGTAGGAGGAAGTTAGGTAGCTTGTTCATTTTTAGTTGCTGGAAGTGTGAAAGCCACTGGAAAGGGTGTGCGCATCATCTCTAGGGAACAAGTGATCTACAGAAGCAAAGCACCATGTCTTCTTTTTACTTCACCTGCCATATGGAAGATAAAACCAGATATTGCCCACAAATGGGCAGGACTGGGGGTTGTTTTTTTTTAAAAAAAAAAATGCAGCAGGCTTTATATATTTAACTTAAACACCACCTTTCTTCCAATTGTTAGTTACTCATTATCTTTGTAATTTTTTTTACCATTAGGAAGCAAAGAGGTGTTTGCATGATTTTTTTCTTCATGTGCCAGAGTAACTTGGCAGGCTTTGGTACTAATATGTACCATGACCTTGAGTAGGAATTGCTTCTCTGCCTTAGGGAGCAAAGCATCTTGGATGAGCCAGTATACTGAATACCTGAGACCAGTTCTCTAGATGACGTCTCCCAGCAGTTTTTATGTAGAATCTATATATTACAGATGCTATGGGAGATAGAATGGAAACCTACAGAATTTCAAGGCATGATTGTTTCTTTCAAAGGGTCAAACGATTACCTCCTATCACCACCTTCTGGAAAAAGACATCCCAGTAGCAGTGAAACCATTGTCAAACTATGTTTCACACATCCAGTCTGAACAGTCTCACTGGAAGAAGACTATGACTGGTGGTACCAAAAACGTGTAAGTGATCAAGTAGAATCAAAGAGTCACACTTCCCCTGTCTTACTTCTGATAAAGGTCATCCCAAAGAGTGATCAAGGTACTTTCTCAGAACAAAGTGATCCTAAAACCTCACTGAAATGGATCCAGATTGTCAGTGACTGCTGCTGCTTGGACATCATTATTTCAGTCATTCTTAGGAAGGGATTATTGACACTGTCCTATAGTTGTTGACGCCGCCAGAGTCCAGGATATATTTCTTCAGAAGCCATTGAAACATTTCTTCTTTTACAGGAACTTGAGTCGTCACTTCTCTTAATGGGACATTTACAATCTCCTGGACATCCCCTCTTGCTAGATTTAGTAGGCCATGGAGGATAAAAACCAAACATAGCCAGATTTTTTTAAAAAAGCACATTGTCCATATTCTCAGAATCCAGCAACTGGTACTTTATCTAACAAATATGGAAATGTAAAACCTAATGATATTATATGAAATATGGAGTCCAAACATGGGTAAATGTATCCTCAGAGTATCTTGAAAATGTGTTACACTGTGCTGTCAAGGGTCTATGTCTCTTCCCAGGCCAGATTTCAAAATGTCACCCACACTTGGAAAAGCTCTGCTGGGCAATATTGGGAGAGTGCCATTCTGGATGAGAAGAACTGTTTGTTTTATTCCATCACCATTGTCATCACATAAGAGGCCTCATAGTGAATTAATACATGCATTTGATTAGACTTATCGTCTTTCTACGCTTATATGTCTGCTGTCTCTCTATTTTATCCTTAGCTTGGATATGTATCAAGGAGTCACATAGGATCCAGTCAATGAAAAGAGGAGCTTTTCCAAAATCCAATTCCATAGTTATGCCTGTGGAAGCCAAATAGCATATCTCATAGCAGCTTCTTGCTGGTAATTAGTTAATCCCTAGGTGCACATCAATCCAGTGAGTCAGTGCATATCTGAAAATCCAAGCAGGGGTTCATTAATTAGCAGGGGGTGGAACCACTGAAAGTTATCCTATTTGCCTCCCACAGATGTAACTCTTGCAAGATTTTGGTCATTATTTCAACCACATAAATGATGTCTCCATAACAATTGGTGCTAAGGTTTTGGCAGAAGCACTTACCATAACAGCCAGGAAATCCTTGTGTTAGACTATTTCAATAGGTTTCTCACTCTCTCAGAGAGAAAAAAAAATCTATTGAGGGCCTTAACTTCAAAAACAAGGAATGAGGAAGGAATTAATGTCAAAATCCCCATTTCAGCTCATAAGCTTTCTGTCTAGCTGAGACAACTAGCACGTGTTCCCGTTCACTTGTTAGGCCAATGGCAAGTTATGTCAGCTATGAAATCCTGGCATAGATGTTGAACTTCCCCAGGACAATCATTCCAGAAGTGCTCAACACCAAGCCCATCTCTTTCAGCTCAGACAGAGAGGGTTGTGGGTAGCAGAGAGTGTGTGTGTGGCTACTGCAGCATCCCCAACCTGTCCCAAGTGCCTAACACAAACTACAAACACTCCAAATTAGTACTCACATGGACCAGAGGCACGAGAGGGGGAGGGAATTCATATTGGTAAGAGCAAACTAAACATGCCCACCCACACCCACTATGGTTCCAAGTAAACATAATTAGACTGCATTGCATTAAACACTCAGAATTTGTGCTATACCCATGTATGCATGTGCACAGACAACAAGCCCTTTTGATGTCTACTTGGTTTTTGCAAAGGTCAGGCAAAATGGATAAATGGCTACTCAATGCAGCAAAGGCCATTATTTGAGAGGGAAGGTTTAAAAAGGAACTGGCAGTAATGAACAGAGCGGGACTGGATGTACCATAAGGTGAGGTGAGTGAGCCACACCAGGCAATAGATTATAGGTGGACAGCTCTGAAGGCAGACTGGACAAATTCCCCGTGTCTGAGGAACTGAGGAATGTAACCCATGAACAGTCATGCTGAAACAAATCTGTCAGCCTTCAAGGCGTTACTTTTGTTTTTATGTTTCTTACAGCTACCTTTGACTATATATGTTCCCAATGCTATATTCCCAATGAGGCTGTGTGTGTGTCTCCAGGTTCCCGTGACTGGGCAGCACGAATGAGGCAGCGCTACTGAATTGGCACCTGTTGAGCAGAATGTGTGTTTAAATAGGATTTTGGCCTGCTCAATTTTTAGCTTGTGACATTATTTTCATTTTATTTTTCTCTCCTGGGGATGGGGAGAAAGGCTTCTGGGATTTTCTGCCTCATGTGGCAAACCAGTGTGTCTACAGACAGGCATTTGGCTCCATGATTTGAGTGGGAGGAGGCCATTTCCTCCAACTCAGGCAGCAAGATGTCCTGGGACGGCCCTGAAGGAAAATACCAAACCAAACCAAGCGAGGGCGACACTTTTTTTCCTAGCTTGTTTCTTCTCGTGTGAGAGGATAGCAAGAAAAAGTAGCGCGCCTTTCTTCCCATTCGCTGTAAACAGAGGCGTAAGTTGTCCGGAGCCGCCGCTTTCAGCTCTGCCCCTATGGCCGGGGAATGAGCCTGGTAGGATGTGCTGGGAAGGTCGGACCCAAACAGGGAAGGCTCGGCCTTCTGTCGACCCGGGCGGTGCGCCCGCCCTCTTCCTCTCCCTCCCTCCCTCGCCTGCTCCCAGCCTGTACCGACGTGGCCGGGCCGAGAGAGGAAAGTGCAGGGACGCGCGTCAGGCAGGCAACGGCTGGTCGGCGGTAAGGAGCAAGGCGGCTACTTTTCTCTCCCTCTCTCTCTTTTTGTCCCCCCCTCCAACTATGCAATCTCCTTTTCATTTGAATGAACAAAAAAGGATTCTCCTGTTATTTTCACAAGAAAAAAATACTTCTTAATTTAAGGAAGAGCAGACAAAACTTCACTTGCCCCATTGTCTCCTCCCCCCCCCCTCCAACTATGCAACCTCCTTTTCCTTTGAATGAACAAGAAAGGATTCTCCTGTTCTGTTATTTTCACAAGAAAAAATACTTCTTAATTTAAGGAAGAGCGGACAAAACTTCACTTGCCCCATTGTCTCCTGCTGGGCGCCGTGGTGTAAGCGGGATCGGTGTCAGCCCGATTCTGCTTGCACCCCTTTCACCACGGTGCGGGGGTGGGGGGGACCTATGCATCTCGGCCTTCTTTCTGCCATCAAAGAAACAAGGGTGGGTTTGTGGGTGCACCTACAGAAGAAATCACGGAAGGGGAAGTTAGAGGCTCTTTCGGTGCGTGCTTATTACTCAAGAACTGTTTCCAAAGTTTGCAAGCTCGTATAAAATTAAATCTCGAGAAGGTTTGCGCCATCGCCAGGACCAGTTTTTTATGGCCCTTTTGGATAGGATTTCCTTCTAACTGTAATATGCGCGGAGGCAAAGGATGACTGTACTGGCAGTGACGCGATGATAATAAGTTGTTTGTGATCCCTGCTGAGCTTACATGTCTTGAAAACACACGTTTGTTTCCTGCAGTGGGTGAATCAACCCTGACTTTCACAGGATGGAAAGAGCTTTGAAGAGCATTGCATGAAAAGTTAGCAGTCAGTAGATGTCAGTCTAATCCAAGGTATTCCTTTAAGGTGCCTCTTCGACAGGGTTTTCACGGTGCCTTATTCACAAAGCTTGGGGTGGGGGCATAATGTCGTGGTCGTCCATTTCAAACTCTTCCTCTTTCCATTTGCATCTTCAGCCTTTTTTTTACTACCACAAAAATCCATGAAGCAGAGAAAAATGGAATAGTTGCATAAATGCCTTTCAAGTGATAGGATTATAAGCAGTTCTCCTCAAAGTAACCTTACAGTTCAAAGCACAAAAGGCAAACTAAAGACTCAATTGGGCATAATGAAAAGATCCCACATTTTGTTTATTTGGGTACAGTATAGCATTCCAGATTCTCTTGGATTGCAGTTCCTTGTATTCTTCAGAATTGCCAGTTGCAGTCCAACAACATCTGCAAAGTTGCACTTTGTTCATCTTGCTGTTTAACCTGTTATTGTTATATGATGTCAAGTCACTATTAACTTCGGGTGAACCCAACAGGGCTTTCACTGTATCAGAGATATTCAAGAAGTAGTTGACCATTGCCATCCCTAACTCAGTTGGCATGGCTGAGAGGTGGTTTGAACCTGCATGTGTCTTTTCTTGAAAAATGTCTCCCTTGCCTCCCCATCCACTTTAATCAGCATCACTTTGTGGATTCAGCCACATTTCTTACCAGCTGCTCGTTTCTACTAATGAAGCAGGTCCTTCAGAGGTAAGAGATGGGGCAAGGGTGTGGGGATTCCATTCTTATCACATCCTTATGTATTTTCTTCAAAAATGTCTCTCTGGCTCTTATTACAACAAGCTGATTTATGTGAACAAGACTGACACAAGAATAAAAGCTATGTTGTTATTTTATCATTTGTGCTATGACATGACAGATGTTCCAGAATGATTAGTCAGTTGGAAGGAAAACAATAAAAAGCCTTACTTCACTTTAAAGACAAAAGGATTTATTATGGCATAAACCTTTATAGACTACAGTCTACCCCAGAAGAAGATATATTATCAGTTAATGTCACTTAATTTTGTAATGATCTGCTCTGATAACAAGCATGCTGCTAGACAGGAGTATCAAGCCATACTGGTGAACAAAGCTGAAAAAAATATTTAATAAATCAAACATCGGGAAAACACCAAGCATTTTATATTTGAAACACAATTATTTGGGTAAGTCACATTTTTGTCGGTACTTGCTGAAATCCTGTGGCTTTGCATAGTAAGTTGCTCTAAAGTAGGCCAATTGAAGAAGTGGGGATTTAGTGAATCAACACCTCTAAGTTCCTTTGAATCAGATGGACCTACTACTCTAGTTGCAACTTGCTATGCTAAAGTAAGTTGCAGCTAAAGTAGACCCATTTGGATCAATGGAACGTATGAAGGAATTGACTCACCAAATCCCCACTGATTCAGTGGACCTATGTTTTTGTTTTATCCTAGATTCCACATACAGAAATATAGACTCTGTTTCAATTTATATGACATTTATGTTCTTTTTTCCAGGCTATGTTTTTCTTTCACTGATTAACCCATTATAATGATTATAAAAAGTTGACAGTGGGATACTGTGAATTGATGAAAGTTAAGCCATCCTATTAAAACTTCTCTGACTGGTGCTCAAGAGCAGAGAAAGATGACCTCCAGTGTGGCCTAACCATCCCACTTCTCTTTTTCTCTTATTTCAAAACCTCCCTGCTTGCTTGCTTTTTTCTGCTTTGGGTACCCAGTTCGACCATATTTTATTTCTAATGAATCGGTTTTCAAATCTCATATTATATATGGCACACTTAAGCAATTGTTCCAAGCAGCAGGACTTCTATACCTAACCATTAAATTGCTCCAAAATCATTTTGTGATGTTAGGCCACAGAGGTTAAGTAAAATATGATAATCACCACTGAAAAATAAACCTAGACAAATTAATGAAGAAATGCAACTCTGTGGCCCAGTATTCATGAACATTTTTTTTCACCTGCAGATAAGCCAGGAAAATCTCTAATTAACTTTTACTGCAGGTTTCATGTAGGCCCGGAAACTGTGGTCACCTGCTTCAAAGCAAGCTAAGATATAAAGCCTTGGTTCAGTTAGAGACTTCCTGGTTTGATATTGATGAAGGGAGGATGGAGAGGTTGAATGGGAAGACTGAATACTCTTGCATATTTCAGCTGAATGTGCCAAGGCAGATTTGTTCAGTGTTGCCCTATACAGCTTTGAAATGTTTTATTTTGATCTCAATGGTAAGGGATGCATTTTAGTGTAGCATATTCTTTTATTTGATACGTACAGCCACTATAATCTGCAACAAATCTATTGCTTTCTTTCTCTTTCTGTAGAATTTAAAATGTCAGGTGGCACAAGCGATGTGTTAACTCCAGATAAAAGGGAAAAAGTACTAGATCCTGGCAGTAATGCTTCAGCTTCTGACCCAGCAACACAGAATGAGAAGACAGAACAAGCTCTACCACCAGACAGCAAACGCCATGCTCCTGAAGTCCCCAGTAATGAACAGGAGGGACGTGTGATAACTTTAGAGAATCGTTCAGATGAGGAACCTTCCAGTGGGAACGTCGCTGAGGACAATCCTCTTGAATGCACTGAATCTGTGAGCCTTGAACCAGAATCTGGATCTGAATTGCCAAATGAAGAGCGTGACTCAGTAAGGAATAGATGTCTCTGTATTTACTACTATATTTTTCTATGTATACGACCCCCCCCACCCAGTGTGTAAGACAACCCAGTGATTTTGTTGCTTTCCGGAGGCGGAGGAGCAGTCAATGGGCAGCCATGAAGGGTGGCCCAGTGTGGCTGCTCCTCTGCCTCCGTCTACTGCTGCCTCCACCACCTAATCGCCTCCTCCAGTGCGGTTTGCCGGGGCTCACCTCCGGGTCACATCGCCGCCTTGTCCCCTGCCCGAAGGGAGCCCGCAAGTGCTGCTGGAGGAGGCAATCTGGCGGCGGTGGCAACAGTCAATGGGCAGCAGCGACAGGCGGCCAAGCGTGGCTGCTCCTTTGCCTTAGGCGGCCAAGCGCCACTGCTCCTTTGCCTCTGCCTCTGTCTCCTCTTGCTGAGCCCACGAGTGGCGCTGGAGGAGGCCCATTCCATTTTATACACGGAAGGAGGCAAAGGCAAAGGAGCAGCTGCACTCAGCCACCTCTCGCGGCTGCCCATTGACTGCTGCCTCCACCACCGGATCACCTCCTCCGGTGCCACTCACGGGCTCCCTGCAGGCAGGGGACAAGGCCGTGACGTGAGCTGGAGGTGAGCCCCGGCAAGTCGCACTGAAGGAGGCGATCGGGCGGCGGAGGCAGCAGTCAATGGGCAGCCGTGAGAGGCAGCTGAGCGCGGCTGCTCATTTGCCTTTGCCTTCGCCTCCTTCCGTGTATAAAACAACCCTCAATTTTTCCTCTAATGATTTTAGGTAAAAGTGTCATTTTATAGACAGAAAAATACGGTAATTTCATTTTTATAATACACTCAAGGTATCCCACTTAGAACTGTTTGCACATTCCGTAGCACTATTGCTATGTTGAGCTCATCTTTGCATGTGTCCATAGTAGAGGGGGAAGAGGAGGACTTGGCACACGCTTGCTGTTTTCAGCAGCAGTCCTATCTAAAACATAGGACTGTATTACAGTACGTAGCTTAGCTTCACCTTCATGCAGCTGTGCTATGCTCCCTTTAATTTTTCTTTGCCTTATACTGAGAAGTGTGTGTGTGTGGAACTTGTTATTGTAGATAAAGGAAAATGTGGTTTACTGGTTAGAATGTTTGGCTGACCTGCCTCACAGGTTGTTGTGTAGATAGAGGAAGAGACTCATGTACAGCACCTTGGGTTTATTAGAGAAAAGATGGAATATAAATGTACTAGAAAAACAACTTCACTCCTCATTGTTGTAGCTATTTTTTATTTTTGGTAGTTCTATTCCTGGGTGATTTTGGACAGACTGCTCCTAGCGCTGCCAATCAAAAGTTATTCTGCACACCTATGCTATATTTATCTTCTCAGTGGATTTTCTGTAGTAACAAACAATGAATTAAATGTTGGAAAAAACACAGAGGGATATAAATCAAAGATGGTCTATTGGAGATGTCCAATAAAATTCTCTGATCGGGACAAGATGTTTGCATGATAATAGTTTCATCTGGAAGCACCCTATCCCCATCTCTTTGCATTTACAAAGGAAAAGTGCAGATGTAAGTGCAATGAAGAGATATGCATTGACATCCTTTACAAGTGGAAGAGGAATGAAAAACCCCACTATGTTCCCCATAAAATGTAGATTTTCATAATGTTCTAGCATTCTTCTATGCATTGCTTAGTCTATTCCTTTGATTTTTCTGAAGATAAAATTGTTTGGTAATGCACAGTGGCTGCTACTTTAGGTTATCAGCATTCAGGTATTACTTATGGAGGGGGTTAAAATATGTCTTAAGCTGTCCCCTTTTCTGTTCTTATCATAGCATGGCTTCATAGCTTTAGGAGTTTGCTTGTGACACAAAGAGACATAAACAGGATCTTTTATAATATATAATGGGTTTATTTTTTATTAGATCTCTGCCGCATTTTCTCCCATCACATAAGAGAATTAGATTAGAATAAGTAAAACAAGTAAAGGCAAAAACAAAAATATTGTTTTAGACATCAGCTAATTTTAATATAATTTAAAACAAATCAGTTTTTTTAAAAAGGAAGCATATTTCTAGATTAAAAGCCCTGTTTACAGCAAGCCTGTTTTAACTGCCAAAGGCCCACCTAAACAAAAAGATATTTGCCTGTGCAGGAAGGACAACAGGCTGAGGGCCAGTCTAGCCTCTCTTGGAAGGATATTTCAAAATTATGTGGAACATTACTCCAGAATAAAACTGTTGTGGAAATTGAATGTGTGCATACTTAATTATTCTTAAAATCCATAAACAGTAATGTATGCAAATAATCCAATTCTGAAAATTGAGGCTAATTGACAGCATTAATAAATAAACTTCTGGCAGAATGTCCATCATGATGATGGGCAAAGACAGAACACAATCCTTAGTGCCTTTGGTGGTTGCATGTGGAAATATTTCCTCTTCATCATGCTCCGAACAGAGATGTCCACTGGCCATCTCTTCCCTCTGGTTGGATCTGTGTGAGTTGTTCTAGAGTGAGAAAGCATCCTTTCCCTACTGTATTTTAGATTTTTTTTATGTGTGGTAGGCTTCCCACAGAAACTCCACAAAAAGAGTAGCAGAGGTCAGGTTTTCCTGGGGAACAAAGCCGTCTTTCTTTCAACATGTACAACTCAGCTGTCCTTTTACTGCTGGGGAGGCAAATGGGTTGTGAAGTTATAAGGAGTCTAGCCACAACTTCTGATAGAAGGCATAGATCTTAGGTAGAGATGAGCAGGAATTCAAAAACAAGTCACCGAATTTGTTCAAAAATTGCTAATTCATCAATTCGTGTTCATACAATCTGCCCCCAACTAATATGAATCTGTGAATTTTTAGTGATTTTTGATTCATTGACCTTGATGGATCACAAATCAAAATGAATCACCATTCTTCTGATTCATGACCATCTTTAATCTTAGGTATCTGGCTGTGGAGTCAAAGTTTGGGAGTTTGAATCCCCACTGTATCTTTCTGACAGAGGCTGGACTCAATGATCCCTTCCAGCTTTGCGGTTCCAAGATTATTCTAAGATTATATCTGTGCATTCTATGTCCCAGAGATTTATTGTCTCCCCATCTCATGCTGACTCTCTGTTTCTTCTGTGTGTTTCTGCTAAAGTGTAGGCATGGATGCTGCAGTGGGAGATATGAATGGTGGCTAAAAGGTTAAACATAAAATTTTTCATGTACTGTAAGTTTCATGACACTTAGAGGTAGAAGCATAGGACTAGTAATATTATAATTATTGCTTGTGTGTATCATAAATAATAAAACTATAACAGCAATAACTTTCTTTCTGGTCAGCAGAATTTAATCAATTTTCAATCAGACAGCATTCATCTAATTTTTCATGGTAGAATGCTAGCTGAAAAATACCTGATTGATTTTAGAAGGAAAGACATGTAAGCAAAGGCAGTGAGGAGAGATCATTTATTTGCTCCATCTGACAGTGAGCTAAGAGAATCAAACACATAAATAACAAATATACTTAATTCTTTCTAGGCGAAAGCATCTAGTATCTCTTAACACTGAATTTTATTGAACAAGTGGATGAAGGTCTTCTAAGGAGTAGTCTTTTTAGCTTCTCTAATGCTTAATTGTGTCAATTAATTGTGTGCAGCACTCTTTGTTGATGAAGGACATGAGCTCAGTCTTTTAATGCTCACCGCACCCAATTATGTAGGATATGAAGTTATCCCTAACTTGGTGTTCTGCAGATCCAGATGTGTTGGACTTTAAAATCAGCATTGCCAGCATCTTCTCCCTGCTCCGTACTAGACCTTGCTCTTTAAAAAAAAACTCTCTACCATCCCTCAATCCCTAAAAAAATTCTCCTGTCCTTCCGTCCACTTGCCAGCCCAGCAGCAGGGAGCAACAATGGTGTGAGATGACCAAAGAGGAGAAGTAGCTCTACTTCTTCCCTTCCTTCTCTGTTGCTTTGTGACATTGCTTTACAGTGTGCCAGGAGCAACAGTGTGATTAGCTCCTTACACTATCTCTTGGGAAGGCTCCCAGCTCCCAGGATCCACTGTGGGTTTTTTTTTGCCTGGCAAGCTGAAGAGGGATAGGTGGAAGGGACAGACTAGTTTGTCCTTATGTTCCCACTGCTACTACCATCTGATTGTTGATTAAAGGAAAAAGGCAAGTGTATTTGGGAGCTGATGAGGAAGGTATTATTTTCCAAGATGTTTTTTGAAAGCACTCAAGATAATATCTGAGTTGGGTAGAAACAAGTGGGGAATAGATCAACAAGCCTATGTATTTCTTGAAGTACATTTCTACAAATGTCAGTAACTATATTCTAAAAATTCAAGGGGCTGACAGGTGTCCCTTTGTTTGTTTGTTTGTCTGTTTTCTGCAGGGCGGGGATTCAATACCAAAGGCAAGTGGATGGACAACTTGGGGAACATGGGGCAAGTCCCTGATTTCATCAGCTTCTGCCACAGTTGTTAAGTATCCAAATGAGTTAACTCATTATATAAAAATATTTAAATATATTGGCTGAAATCCTGTTCCTTAGTGTTGTAAGTTAGTTAGTTAGTTAGTTAGTTAGTTAGTTAGTTAGTTAGTTAGTTAGTTAGTTTGTTTGTTTGTTTGTTTGTTTATTTATTTATTTTAGTTTGTTTGTTTATTTATTTATTTATTTATGTATTTATTTATTTATTTATGTTCTTTCTGTTGTGACTGTAGACCAGTTGTATTTGTGGGGATCTGATGAGTCAGCTCTTCCATAAGTCTCAATGGGCTTACTTTCGTTATGACATACTATGCCAAGCAACAGGATTTCAGCCAAGGAGTTTGATTTCTTTGTAGTATGAATAAACCTTTAGAATTTACATTTATTTCTGGGTACTGCAAAATATTTTTCTCCTTCCTTTTAAAGCGAAACAAAAAGTTATAATGAAGATGCAAGTTAAAATAGAGCTGGATTTTTCTTCTTAAACTTTTCCAGCTCACTTTCCCCTGAAACCCCCCCCACACACACACACACACACCACCACCACCACCACCACCATTCCTTTTCTTTTCTGCAGATGCAAATTAATATTTGCAAAGTGACCATAAGGTCTGTTCACCTTTAAGGGGCTGGGGTAGGGGGAGGCTTTGAAGTGAGAATGTTTTATTCCAAGAAGGGTTGAGTACTCCTCCCCTGGATGCTTTGCAACATAGAAACTGCCACAGCTTTATTGGCAATGTTTAGTTTGACCTTAAAGCAAAACATGGTCATATAAACTGTCATGATTCAGTCTGCATGCCCTACAGTATATTATGACATAATGACTGATGACTTGGTAAAGTTCAGCTGAAGCATATGTGTTAGAAAGCATTGTAGTTGATGGTGATATAGGTAATGTGAAAACTCTGCCAGTACGGCTTGATTTGCAATTTATTTCACTCGTACCAATCGTCGCATGATGTTTCGTTCCTTCACTGACTGGTTGAAAGAGGAATGGCTTATCTTCTTCCCACAACCTGTGACTAGCTCAAGGCCCCAGTGATCCAGTGGAATCAAAAGATTGATGTTATCTGTATTTATTTTGTTGTACCGGCCATCTTATGTGACCTCCTAAATCTAGTTCACTCTATCAGATAAAGAATGAGATGTTACAACCGTCTGCCCAAATAAAGTTCATTCCCTCGCAATCTGATTCATGAAACCAGCTGAAGTATGTACCATGAAGCACTTTAAGTCCAAATGGTTCAACTTAACTGGTTTTGTGGACCAGCCCATTTGTCCAAGTTCTTCAGCAATCACATTATGTTAAATCCAGTTATTCTCTACTACTGTAGAGTAGACTGAAATCATTTGGATTCAGTGGCTTTACACAAATTCGTACTAAATGTTGAAGTTAGCCTAATCTCAAAAATTGATGTTTCTCCAGTCAAGCACAGCAAATGTATGCTTGCTTTGTTTGATAAAATTGCATGCAGTGAAACAGTTGGATTTGCAACTGTGTACAACTGATAAAAATGTAAATGACGTAACTTTGTCCTAATATAAATCACAAAGATAAAACTAGAATTTTTGTTCAGCTATCAGCCTGATTTTAAAATGTGTGGCTTTTCTTAAACATACAAGGTTTTTAATGTTTAAATTAAATTTAAAAATTAAGTTTAAAAAAATGCAAATGGGGAATAATTTCATTAGCAATGTTTTCAAGCAGCAATTTGTATTTTTCTACTTGTCTTTGCTATTTAATTATCCCTATTGTGTATCCTAGAGAAATTAATCTTTTCCAGCCAAAAATAAACAGGTTTTCCTAAGAGATTTTCTATGCAATTAGATACATGCTTTTTAAATGCTGAGGTATCAGGAAAATGGCATACAAACAAAAGTACAGGGGTGCCCCGCATAGTGACGTTAATCCATTCCGGATAAATCGTTACTATCCGGAAATGTCGCTATGCGGGGGGGAACCCCATAGGAACGCATTAAATTCTGTTTAATGCGTTCCTGTGGGGACAAAACTCATTAGTATGCGAAGATTCCCCATTCAGCTGCCATTTTCACCGCCTCGGTAAGCAAGGGCGGGGCGCAGAAACGGAGCGGGCGGCCATTTTCTTCTTCCGGCGGCCATTTTGGAACCGCCGATCAGCTGTTGGGGAAACATTGCAATGCGAAGATCAGTAAGCGAAACGCTTACCGATCACCGCAATGCGATGTTTTGCCACCTAAAACATCACAACGCGATCGCTAATGTGGATTCGTCGTTAAACGGTGTGCTCGTTAAGCGAGGCACCACTGTAGTTGCATAAAAACTTCCTTGAAACTATGTTTCGCATCGTTGTATTTTCCTCTTATTCTTGGACTGGAAAATTAGGACACATTTCAGGCCATTATGTGCCACAATAAAAATTTCAAGATGTCATCAATATATCTGTATAAGGCCAAGATCCAGTAGAGATTCCTCAGTGGAACCCTGACACAGTCTGCCATTCTTGCACCTTCAAAAATTGGTGTGGAGAGCTGCAAAATCTACCAAAACTGGGTTTCAGGTAGCTTTAAGAGCCACAGGGAAAATGCGTGGGGATGGGGCAGGGAAACCTTTAATATTAGAAAAGTGCCACCAGATCACAAGCAGCAATGCTAGTCTAGCAATGGGACCGGCAATATTGATGAGAGGATCTTAAACTACCACTGCCACCAAGGCTGCCAAGGTTTCCAAAGCTTGGCAGCCCCTCGTCTCATTTTGTTGCCACACTTGGCTCAGCTTGGTACCACTCTTCTCAGTGCTCAAGGGGAGCAACTAGCTCACCTACTCTTAAGGCCAACTCTGATTTCAGTAGGATCAGTGCAACTGGTCTACAACTCTGTGTCAACCCAATCTGTATTCTTGTATTTTGGTTTTCTGAGTTAGATACTTCTATGCAGAAAAGGCAAACTAAGTTGGTAAATCTGCTCTTCCGAGCTATTAGTATGTTTTGCTCTTGCCATTTTAAAAAGGAATAGAATACAGCATGCAACAGTACCAAGAACTGAGGTATGGTTACTATCAGTGAATCTTAAAGAAGGCACAGTATACATTGAAACAATACAGAGAAGAGAAATAATGGTAGCTAGACATCACCTCTTAATTGGAGTTTTCTGTTGTTCACAATTGAAAAGGACAGTCAGGAAATGACTCTTCCAGGCTCCTTTCAGACCGAGGTTCAAGTGTCCTGATAGTGGACACATAGCCAGAAGCAATCTATAAACATTGGCTATGCACTCGTTCTGGAGTTTATTTACTAACTAACGACAATCTGCAAATTCGCTGTGTATTCATGTTGCTGATTTATTCCTGGTGCTGTGATTTTGCACCAGGCAGAAATGTAGAAGACACAGTTATCCAGGGGTCTCTACTGATGCCGAAGGAAGTTTTTTTGTTTGTTTTTTGTTTTGTTTTTGGCACCTCTTTTGCTGGAAGAAAGCTGCATTTTGACTGAGAATATAGGGTCACCCTAATCTGAGGTCCTTTCTCTCTCAGACCATGCTTCCAAATCCATTCAGATTTTATCTTTATAGCGGGAGTGCCCTCCTGATTTAATAGGTATGGGAGTGGTACATACTGTCAGTGCAAAAATAACAATGCAAATATTCCTATTCAATCCTCAAGGGCAGCAGAATTTGATAGCAAATGTATCTTGTATCCAGTGAGATGGGATGAGAACACATTCATTTCAAACAGAAGAATAGAAACCTGCTTCTGAAGGAAATATTGAATTTGACTGCTTTGCATTTTCCCTCCATATATGTTTTGCCCTTGCACGTATTTTGTCGAGAGTGGTATTTTGCAGTGTTGCAATATCTTATATGGTAGAATGGTCTTTGGCAGATAGTTATTATTGAATTCTCAAGGTATCTCACGGGTGTTTCAGCTGGTGATCACAAAACCTTGAAGTGTTATCAGATTGTTTTTTTCTCATCCATATTCCTAGCTCTTTATTGCATTTTCCTTTAATTGGATATCACTGAAGCATAAAAATACAAAGAGTTTGTTAGAAACAAATAACACTCTATCTTATCACAATGGCAGTTTCTCATAAAATACTTATTTATTTTTTGATTTACAAACTGCATTCACTTGCCCATATTTTGCTGATATTGTAGAGAGAATGGTCTAACTAGAACTTTGAAAAGTTACATTTTGGACCACAGTTGCCAGAATGCCTCAACCAGCATGGACAAGTGTCCATGCTAATTGAACGATCCTGGATGTTGTAGTACAAAACAAAACAACAAAAAAACAAAACAAAACACCATCCCTTTTCAATTTCTGGAACCAATCAGAAGAAAAACTAAGAGTCTGATCCCATTGACAATAAAAACCACTATTGTATCAGGTTCTGCTTTTTAAAGAAAGCAACTCAAATTTAGGCATAGACAAAAGGTATATGCATGTGCTAGGGGAGCGTGTTTTTCTGCTCTTCCTCCAAAGGTATGTTTAATTTGAGGTGGATGTGGAATCATTTCCTTGTATCTGAAAGTCCCTGATAGCAAAAAAAAAAAGCAAACAAACTTGCTCTCACTTGCCCGCCAGATTGTCTATCCTGCCAGCCAGTTGTCCCCCCCACCTGTCCGACTCTTCCCCTACCAGCCTGATCACCCTGATCATGCCCCTGACAAGACAGTCACGTACCCCACCAGCCTGATCATCCACCTGCCCCCCTCAATCACACCTCCACCAGCCCAGTCACCTGCCACCAACCCAATTGCCCACCTGCCCCCTCACTCACTCACCTATCCATCAGCCTGATCACCCGCTGGCCCAATATCTCACTAACCCCCTCACTCACCCAATCATCCTCTCTGCCCAATCACCTCCTGCCAGCCCAGTCACTCCACCACCAGCCCATCCGCCATGACTGATCTTGTTTTGACAGGCAGTGACAGCTGTGGGTGATGGTGGCAGAGGCAGTGGCAGCACAGGTGGCGGAGTTGTGGGGATGCACATCCTGACCCAAAAAA